ATCCCCAGGATGAATTCAGTCATTTCACGTTCTAATTGCTGCCGATCATTAATTGTTTCAATTCCATATTCATATCCTACTTCTGACCTCCAATTTTCAAGAATTTTGACCCACTTGGCTGTGGCCTTGCGAGTATTTTCAGGTATCGTGCCTTTAATAATTTCATTAATTTCTTCATCCGTAGGTTTATGATATTTAACTTTTTTATTTAACATTTTTTTTTAGTGTTGAATAAGTAAAATGAAGGCGGAAGTAAAATAAATATAAAAGTGAAATGAAAGTAAAAGCGAAAAGAGCAAAATAGTCTAATTTATTCAAAATCACAAGAGATATTTATATAAAAATTTAGACTTCGCAAATTGACTATATTTATTTACTTGCTTTTACATATTTATCATTTAAATTTAATATCTTTTGACTCATTTTAATTAGAGCTTATTATGAAGTCATAAGTTATCCGATCATTGTCGGATGCCGGATAACACCGTTATTGGATGCTACGCACCAATAACTGTCGAATCTGAACCAGAATTTGATCAGTCGATGTCTGGGCCCCTGCGGGGCCTAGCCATCGACCGATCAAATTCTGGCTCAGATACTTTTCGTTATTTGTTGGTGTGACAATAATATCATGATCACGCAGATCATGATATAATTGTACCACCTTCCAAATAACTCCAGTTATTGGATGCTTCGCATCCAATAACTATATATTATTTGAACTTGAATAATAAATAATATTATACTTCAATGGTTATGAAAAAAGTTGATGTTTTCGTTCTATTAAAATTGCGTTGCAATTTGTACTGGAATTAGTCGAGTCAAAATCATGTAGCATTAGAATTTTTTTTTAATTGATGCGAATTACTTTGCTGAAATGCGATCTTAGGAGATGATTACGTAAACTTTATCTCATGATATTTACGTTTGCTAACCAAATATGTTAATTGATAATTTAGCCTCCGTCCACTTTTTATGATGGGCTAGAATTATCGTTATGCACGAAAATAAATTGAAATATATATGAACATAAATATTCTTCTGGCTTTTCGTGATTTTCAAATTTCGCAATGTCGCCGAGACTTCATCCTACGCTTACTATCCTCATTATTATTTTAATTATCGCCATGAATGCTCGTAAGTTTTATGATATTGGTACAGAAATATTAAATTATTTAATAATAACATAACTTTCTACGTAATATTAGGTGGTGTGTTTCTTTTAAAACCGATTGCATATTTAAAGTTTTATCTTTATTTATATAACAAATATCTTTTGCTTTCTCATTATTAAATTCTTAGCGCTATCTGGTGAGTATAAGTTTATAATAATTTTCGTCAAAGTCATCCTTTACATTTATTAATATAAATTTACTTATTAGTTGGTAAATATGGTGTACCTATTTGATTCGATTTTTTCATACTTTTTTTAATATATATTGTTCTTTACATATTATTAGAAAGTGAGTATATAAAACCTAATGTTATTTATCTTTTAAATTCATCGCTGATCTAAACTTATTATTTTATTTTTAGATCGTAAGTATATGATCTTTTTTTTGAATACTGTACTTTTTTTATATGAATTGTTATTAACATATACCGCATTAATTATTAGAACGTATGTATTAACAGTGTGTTCACTTTGATGCCAATTCACTATTTCAGTAATTTAATTTTTACACACTCTAATAAATTGTTAGTCTGTATGTATGAATTGTATTATATTCATTTCATTAAGTTTAAATTATTAATTTTTATCACAAAATTATTAGGCAGTTAGTATCAAATTTATTTTTCTCGACAATTTATTGGCTTATAACTTGCTCATATATATACTTTATCAATTATTAGGCGGTATGTCACGTTTAGTTTTTGATAAGTTTATATAGTTTATTTATTTTAATAACAATAATATTCTAAATTATTTAGCCTGTGAGTGTGAATTTGTTACAGTTTCTCGCCTAAATTCAATTAATTGCTGATTTTTTTTTTTAATTTGTAGCACGTATATATTTAATATTTTATCCATTTTATTTTTTGATTGCTATTATATTTTTTATTGTTAACGAGAAAATTTTTTTTTACATAAACATAAGTCTGTGAGTATAAATTAATAATCCTCTATATTTTCTGACTATTAATAGTAGCCAGTTAATAACTCGAATTCTTTAAAAAAATTATTAGGCGGTGAATACGATGTTTAATTTTTTTCTCGTTTTTAAAAAAGCTATTCATATATATTTACATGTTTTTCCTTAATTCAACTGTTAGCCCGTAAGTTTCAATCATTTATTAAAATTTTTCAATTTAATTCACAATTATATTTAATATTTTTTGTGATACATCAGAATGTAAGTATAACGTATTATCTTTTTACTATATCTGACTATAAAGTTTCTAATACAGTAGAGTTTTTTCTTACTAGGTGGTATAATTCGATCCTTGTTTTCATCGCTTCTACGCAATTTATTGGTGCCTATTATTACTTATATAATTATTATTATTCTTCTTTTATTTTTCTCAACTAATAGTTTGTAAGTATAGTTTACGGTTTTGATCAATATTCACTATTTTTATTGACATTTTTTTATTTGTCTGTATATGATATTATCAGCTAGTAAGTACAATTTCTTTCAGATGATCTGCAATAACTACTGTACCCAACAATTTATTGTTTATTTATATCCTACTTACTAGTATGTAAGTATCAATACAATATATTATACATGATTCAGTAACTTATTACTTCTAAAGTAATATCTTTTGTTATGATTTAGGTGGTAGATATTAAATTCATTATGTTACTTTTAAAATAAACATTATTACACATTAATGCAAATTTTATTAAATCAGAAGGTATGACATTATTAATTCATCGTTTTTCTAATTGACCATTATAATTTATTAATAAAATTCTTTATTAAATTATTAGATGGTAAACATATTAACTTTTACATGATTTATGCATTTCTAATAAATATTTTATGATTAATATTTGAGATTAATTTTTAGTTGGTGAGTATATAAAGTTCGCTATTTTCTTAAAATTATCTATCAATCCATTAATGTACTTTTACAATTATTAGTGAGTGAGTGTGAGATTTTATACATTTGATTGTTCGCGATAAGCAATTTTAACATACACCAATTTTTATTCTTTACCTATTCTATTAATTTATTAGCTAGTAAGTATAAAACATTTTTAAGTGGATTTTTTGCGGCAAATTTACTAATGTGCACATATGAAAATTTTTTAGACTGTGAGTGTAAAAACGTTAATCTTTTAACCGGATTATTGCATCTTAATAATTTTGTTTTCTCATTAAATAATTAGGGTGTAGTAGCTGCGCCGGTAAGTATAGCATTATATTATTTACTTCAAATTTTTATGTACTGTATAATATATTAGTATGTTTATAAAAGATAGTAGCGGTAATGTGGAATCCGTCCGTCCCATATTTTATTTGTATTCATATTTTTTTTTAATGCACATATTTATGAAATTATTAGTTCGTAAGTAGTTTTTAATTTTAAAGTGTTCAAATTGTTTCGATTATAATTCTTTATTTATTAACGTTAACTATTTTTAGACTGTTAGTATAAATTTATTATATTTGTTTTTTTAAATATATTGATTTCATTGCTATATATTTTTTCTAGCCGGTAAGAGCAAAATTCATCGTCTTTGTTTCCAATAGATTTTAATAATATGCTAACATACATAATGTATTGAATCATTAGCTTGTGAGTATAAATTTTTTTATTCAATAATTGTAATTTATTATTCTATAACTGGACTACAAGCTATTTTCATAGGTGGTACGTATAAAACTCAGTAACTTGCTGATTTTAGCTAACTATAATTGTAATTTATTAACATTCAACAGTTCGTGAGTATATACTATATTCATTTCTCCAATATACTATAATAATTTATTAATGTACAACTAAATAATTAGGTCGTAAGTATGATATTCTGATTTCAGGTCGTTGCTTCGAGTCTTCATTATATGAGAATTTATTATCTTTTTTAATTAAACTGCCACTTATTATCGAAAATTTTAGAATGCAAGTATATACAATATTTGGCTTTTTTTCTTGAAATTATTGAATTAATAATTTTATTTCACCTAAATTATTAGGTGGTGAGTATGTTTTCATGTATAATTTACCAAATTTAATGCCTGTCTTACTAAGCATTATAAATTATTAGTTCGTAAGTATTGTTATCATTATATTTGCTGAAGTTGTTTCGATTTGTTAATTTTTTTTTTTATTAATAGTCAGTAAGTTTGAAGTTTATTTTTTTAAAATTTCTTATAACTTAATCTAATGCTATAAAATTTTCTTGTATTCTTTTGCCAACTTTTTAGTAGGTGAGTATAAAATCCCAGACAAATTTATTTTCTAATTATTAATTGTAAATTTTCACAATCTTAGGTTGTGAGTATAGTAATAATTTATGTATTTATGTATACATTTTTTTAAAAAAAATTGATTAATTAAATATTTCATTCGTTTATACATTTTTGCTAAATGATTAGTTGGTAAGTTATATGTTTTTAAATTCTTATTTTAAAAAGAAATTATTCCACGATGTTAAATTGCAATTTATTAATTTCACATTTGATGAAATTATTAACGGGTATGCATAATTTTTTCTGATGCAAAATACGCTAAAATATTCATATTTACTAAACTTTTTTTTTTATTATTGAGCTATTAGAAAGTACGTATTATATGCATATTTTTAAATCAATATCTTGGCAATATTTATGCTATTGGTTTTTGATCTTTTTTTTTGCTATAGAGCTCGTCTCTATTATCATTATTGAAAAAAATTTATTTCTTTTTTTCAAATACTTTAATTAAATACTTTATTTATTTAGGATTGTATCTGCATAACCCAATTGCATTTGAACTTAAGCAATAATTATTATGCTCATTAAAAGCTCTGTATTGTTGTAATTCGTAATGTCAATATTTAAATTTTCGAATTGTATACTTTATTTTTTAAAAAATCAATGTATCAAATTTGGTATTGATAACAAGATGTTGGCGTTATCAATTATACGTAGAAAATTCTCAAGTTAATATCACTGCCAAATTTTGTATATAAATTTTATACAAAAAAATTGAATATATATATATTTAAATTTTAAGCATGCAGTATATTCTTAACATTTAATTATCATTCGTTTGAGAAAATCTTAATTCAAAGTTGATCCATCCAATGTATTACATGATTGGTTAAAATGATTTGATTAAAATGGCAAAGATTTCACGTAACGGTAACTTGAAAATCGTCACTTATCTATAGTAGTTTATACATAAATATTTGTGCATCAAATGTCTTGCAACATTTTTATGATATATTCTATTTTTTTTTTACGTAAATTTATTTTGAATATATTGTAAGTTGGAATGGATTTTAGAATCCACTTAGGTTAATTTTGAATAAACAGAGATCATAGAATTCATGAGTTGTTAAAGAATTCAAGTTTTATTTATAATGCAACGTACCGCAAACTAATTAAATTAAAAGTATTATGATTATAAGAAGGGAAACTACTACCACAAAGCAATTTGCAGCGCACTGTTAACTAATTAAATTAAAAGTATTACATAAAGTGTTTACTTTTATGATTATTAGGATGAAACTATTACCACAAAGCAATTTCATTTTTTTAACATTTACAATAATTTTTATTGCGCGTATTTTTGTAATTGCATTTAACATTCTCTATTTATGGAGCTCATAAATGTTGAAAGAACGCATTCAAGTTTGGAAAACTTGTCAGAACCCAACGAACAAAAGTATGTTTGAGTCAAATTTAATAAATTAGATTATAGAGGTGATGTTTCAAAGTCATGTATAACAATATATTTTTCACCTAATAACGATCTTTTACGTTTCCGTTATTGTATTTTCCAGATCTTCACATGTAATTAAGATTTTGCATTGTCTATTAGTAGATTTGCTATTAAAGTATTTGCAAAGTATCACAGAATAAAAAAAGATTCGATCATTGGATAGAAAGAGTTACAAAGGATGATATATTTATCCGGCAGGTACTATGTATACATTGACGGAAAAAACCCATGTTATTGCCGCAGTTTATTATTAAAATCATGTGATACATAAAAATTTTATTTTTTTAAAATTCTCAATTAAAATTCATTTATTACATATTGCAAATTCAATTAAAAAAATAATAGTGAAAATGATAGTGTATTTCCTTCTTGTTATCAAATTCGGATGATTCATAAAGTTATGAAAGGTGGGTATAAAATATGGTACCGCTTGATTAGTAATAGATTTTAAAGTAGTTGTTGGGCTGATAACCTTGGAATATGGGATTTAAATGTTGGTTTCTTGCTAAAATTAGATCTCGTTGGAGTTGGGGTAGATTTTGAATTACTCGAATCTACGAATAATAGTGTTATTAAAATATATTACGGGTAATAAATTAGTAATTAGAATAATACATACCCGAATTCTCATAATATTGTTCTAGCCCATTATTAAGTGTAAATATTTCTGCTGCCGTCATTAAGTTTGAATCTAAAACAAAAAAAAAACAAGTCAAATCAACGAATACTATATTATTTATAATTAGATGTTGATAGGCCACAAAGTTGATTTTTCGCTTTGCATTACACGGATTTCAAAATTCCTGGTCGGTTGGTTTTTTTTTGTTTTTAATCTACAGTAAATTAATAAACTCATGTTCATGTCTAAGGCCGCAAAAGTTGAATTTTCGCTTTGTATAACATGGAATCAAAAATTGGGTTGGAAGTCGAATCTTTTCTATTAGTTCTATCAGATATTTTCGGGAAAACAAGATCTCTATTGATGATGCCGGAGTAATTTATAGAAAAAACAAATGGCAAAAATAAAAAAATGGGCCGGCGAGTAATGCAAAACGAAAAATCAACTTGCGTGGTCTAATAAATACCATTATAAATTTCAGGATAATCTTCGTAACGCTTTCTGAATTTGTAATAGTCGCATATGTTGCACGGCTTAATAGCTGAATTTTTCTTTCAAATAACGCGTGAGAGAAGGATGGATATTTTAACTTTATATTCCTTCCTGTCTATTCGTTTTAACATGAGTATGTCTCTATATCCGTCAACTGATCGTAACCATTTTGCCATACATCTATCCGTATTTTGTACTCGAGAGAGTTTAAAGGGCTCTAAAATGTTTTCATTGGCTGGTAGTTTATTACATGACATTGAACTATTAAAGAGTTGAATCAAAACACAATCGCTCCTTTATCATTATTAACCAGAGTTTATTTGGGCAATAATATGGTTCCGTCAGTGTATATGTCATACCTGCCGGATAAACTAGTTATCCGGCAAGATGTATCGGAGTTATGGGTATTCAACAGGATGATAGCAAAAGCACGTGGCCAAAGGCCACGTGAGTTGCTATCATCCTGTTGAATACCCATGTATCCGTCACATCATGCCAGATAAGTACTTGTTATCCGACATTTCATATGATCATGTGAATTTTTTTGCCATGATATTTTTTGCATGAAATTACGATGGTCATATTAACTATCGGATAA